GGCGAGACCGACTTTCACTCCAAAGACGTAGGTTACGATCCTCTGGACGACACGCTCGTCGAACGGCGCAACATTTGTTGATATTCGAGAAACAGAGAGACGGAATTACGCAATGTCCATTGAGTAACGGCGCAACATACTCTCGGCTCGACAAAAAAAATTCGCGGCGAATTTGGTATCGGAGGATTCGTGGAATTTTATTTATCGTATTCGATCGATATCGTACCCTCGAATCGTCTGCAAAGGTTCGCGAGATTGCAAGAATTTTTATCTATTGGAAGGCTTATGAAATTCCATTTGAGGTGGTAGAAGGTTGTAAACCAGTATTGTTAATACGTTGTTTGATAAAGTGTTCTGTATCCGAGTGAAATGGCTACGTTTTGGCGAGCCCAGTTGGTCCCAAGTGTTTGGACATTTTGGAGGGTGTATCGAGGATGTCCCTTATCTGGAAGTTAGCAGGAAGAAGAAGAGTCCAGAGAATAATATTGTATTTCGGACTGGATCTTTTAGTTCCCGTTGGGTCGAGCGTGTGCCTCGACCTCTCCAGGCCGTTTAATCGGCGAAACTCGAGGCACGTTTCGCCGTGCGGCGATTATGCGGCTTCTTAAGACTTTACGAAGCAATTACCGCGGCGCTAATTAGCAGGGGCACAGTCGCTTTCGGTAGCCTGTTCCATTTTTGCCAGCGTCGTATAAGCCCTAATTGCAATTACAATTACCGTTGGATACGGCCACCGTACCACCCCTCGCGAGATTTTCATACGGTTGATTCTTCGTTCGAGGTTTCCACTCTCTTCGAGATATTCCGGAGCACCGACGTGCTCGCGACAAATTTGCTACTCGAAACGGCTGCTTTTCCCCCGTTTCGACGTAAAAGATCGGTCGCGCCAGACGCGAGGCGGTTAAAGTTGACCTGGTTTTCGCCGGGGATGATAAAGCGGTACCGGATGGAGAAAAAAAAAAGAGGAAAGGGTCGAGAGATTTAAGCGAAAGGGTTCGAGAAAAGCCGATCGGTAGATTTGGAGCGATTTATTAACCTCGACCGGTCACACAGTGGCTGCAAGCGTCGTGCATATTGATTCGAAGCGCCTCGGTGTTCACCTCCTAATTAGTTGGAACGTGCGTCGACTGCCGTGCTCCTAGGATTGCTTTCCAATAAAATTTCGCTCGCTGATGAGTGGTTACGCTACCTAAAAATCGCATGCTGCAATTACTGCGAAAGACGTATGCAGTTGTCATATTTGTAGCTATACGATATAAAATAATTATTAAAACACTAGCTTACGAATGATCCAGTGACGTATTCTCATCCGTTTAAATCTACTATCCTGCTAAAATATTCAGAACTGGAATACTCTGCGCAACTATGTTTCCCATAAGTACGGTCATCGTTATCAAGAAACAGCGATAATTCGAAGAGATTCGCCAGGATCCAGGGAAAGGGGTTAAAGGAACACGGAAATTTAAAAGCATCGTTAAATGTCCCGGGCAAGATCAACATTTGCTCTTCTTCTTTCGCGTCGTTCTACGCTCTTTTTGGTACGTTAAAAAAAGGCCTCGCCGGGAAGGATCCCTCCGGGAGAAAAAAGTTGCTGGTTCTGCTCCCGGTCCGTCACGCGGATCCGGCGTGTTTACACGGACAATCGAGGAAGAGTTTGCTAACGAAGACGAAATTCAACGTCCAGCCTGGCTTCCTCGTCAGAGATTTTCCTTTTTCCCCGGGCGCTGGCGGCGCAGGGCTGCTAACAATCGCGAGGAAACCCCGTCGACGCGGACTCCGTGCGTCCCGAACGCACCAAACGAGCATTCGGTTATGGTCGCGGGTCCGATAATCCTCTGCAAAAAGTCTGCTTGTCCCGTTGGCAACCTGCCACGCTGCGTCGCGGTAGTCAACGATATCTCGCGCGAATCGTCGCTTTTTATTCGTGGAACGTTTACGATACTCGGGAAAAATCGGAATAAAACCAAATGGACCAAGATCCCTTTTTCATTCTACATTAAAATATAAGTTTAAAGCATAGGACAATATCTTCGGGAACATCGACATTGAGAATTCGTGGGTTAGGCGTGCAACCCTTTAAATCATCCAGATTAAACCCTTTGGTACAAAGATGTAATGTGGAAGGAACTACAGATGTTGATTTTACATAGTCATATTCTCGGAAGATTTTTAGTTTCGATCGACACTCTGATCTGAACAGCCGAGCCTAGTAGAATCGTCAAATCTCATTAGAGCTTTCAGTGGTCAGAGTCGCGCGTTTCACTTCAAATTTTCAACTACAAATCTTGCTGTCTTAAAATCAAATTGCGTTCATTTAAATTATTTAATAATTCTTAAAATTATATGATTTTCGGTGACTTTTCTTTCAAGGCTGATCCTCGAGCACACGCCCCACATGCAGCTCGCGTCAGAGACGTTTTAAACGTGGACCCAAACACCAGCGCACCTCGGTACTTTGGTTCGAGGCCTTTAATTTGGCACGTGTTCCACTCTTGGCTATTGTTGCCATGATTGTTGGGTGGATCGGTCTCTTCTCTCGCTCTGGGGCTCACCTGGCTTTCTCGCTCTGTGTCTGTCCGTGTTCCCCCCTTCCTTGGTCGGTCGTTTTTGCGGTAAACGCGGCGCATGGTGGTAATGCACGGCTCTGTGTATCGTGGCCGGCACGTGTTCGGTTTCTTCGTTGCCGTTTTTCGCGCCGCGGGCGACTTTCCGTCGGGACGAAACGTTTCCGACAACTTGAACGCGTTCCTCGCTCTCGATCCTCCCCGCGATCCGTCGATCCACGTACCCCGGAAACTCGAAACTTGTAAAACATCAGGGACCACGATATTTCTTCTTTTTTTTTTTTTTGCCGATCATCACCGACCACGTCGAGCAATTTCTGCTAATTGCAGTAATTTCGAACGATTTACCGCGCGAACGAGATCGAGAGGGAAACAGAAATTCCATATGCACGGTCTTAAATGGAGATTCCACGAACCCTCGGCGCATTCTGCTCCAAATAATTGTGCGACGCAGCGATTCGAGCCGATTCGTTTCGAGACGTAATTTACGACTGGCTCAACGAGAGCTGCTACGGAGTTGACCCGTTTTCGAGGTTCGTGACCAAACCAGGGCACTCATTTGCCTTAATAACGCACGGCCCGTTCGTCGACTTTCGTTTTTCATGGCGACTGGTTTTTTCGCGCGCGAGACTCTCCGCGCGGTGATTAACGAGCATAGCTGTACGCGAATTTCGATCATATACAAATACATTATCCATCTCAGAGAATTCTTAAGGGTATCTCGGACAATACGAACTATGATATTTACTAAAAAATTACCTGAACCGCGAGGATACGTTAAACGATCGATTCCGGCGAGGAACGGGATAAACGATGGCGCGTATCGTTGGTCGGCGTTCGGTTTCGCGCGGGAATAATGCGATACAAAGGAGAGAAGTCTCTCGGTTTCGTCCCGCGGAGGAACGAGACGCGTCCCACGAGGAGAACGTACGATGCCTGTCGTCCGCGAAGACAAAGAGTGGCGTGTATACAAAGAAACCTGCTGGCACGCAGCGCGTGAGGAAGAACGATGGCGAAATTCCCCGCGTGCAGTCCGTAAATTCCAGACTTTACTGCCTGTCGTCGGTGAAATCGAAGCATATTATTTCAGCGGGGACGCGCGCGGGATGATCCCCGACCCACGAGTGGAACGAGATGAGGAGACCGTCTTTCGTTACCCGGAGGAAACCTCCGGCATCCCTCGTGAAACGCCGACGAAATATTCCGCGAATTATTCGTCGAGATAACCGTCTCGAAAAAGTGGACGATAACCAGCGAATTACGCTTGGAAATATACTCTCGCGTCTCGAGACTCGCCAGTGAACGCTCCTAGTGGATTCGAAACGATGTTTGCACGTGTTGCAAACATTAAAATTAGGAACTTTCCGTCGATCGTGTTCGAATTTGCCGCCTCCAAAGGCAACGCGATTCGAAACGGTACAGAGACGACGAACTCGACGATCAATCAGGAGTTAACGCGCTACAATTGTCACCGACGAGGCGACGGACACTTTGAACTTGCAGTGTTTCGAGATCGTTCACGATGAAACCTTGATACTTGTGAAACTTTAAATGACGCTTCTATTACTACGTTGAATTATCGAACGTTCGACGAATGTCGAGGTCGGCTCCAAACGTGGAGGCTGGCGTGGAAATCAACCTTTGGGCGTCCTATTCTGGGTACCAATCTTGGACGCCTTGTTTAAATGTCTTTGTTTTGCTTTTACTTTCTCTGGAGCAATTGCACACGAGTCTACGAGAACGTAGATTTAAGAAGATGTAGGGAACATCGGTAGAGATCAAAGTATCGAGACGTTTGCCTTGTAATTAGCGTTGAAAGAAGATGCTAAACTCAAAGTAAACGGTGTAAAACCGGAGTTTCGTCAGAGTATAGCGCGCGAGTGGTACGGTTCGTTGACCGTAGGAGCTGTACGCGTGAATCGAGCGTCAAACCATAGCTTTTGATAACTTATTGCGAAGTCAATTATAAAACGTCCACCTTTGAAATAACCCTATCTTGTGTGGGAAGTGTCGCTCGAATTTTATCTCGCACAGGAAAATATTTGAAACCCTATATGTATATAAAATACGTGGAAATGTAATCGTCGAAAGCGGTACAAGTTGAATCGATTGGCGAAAGCGTTAAACAAGCGGCGTTGAAATGGTCGTAAAGGGTTTAAATCCCCTCGAATATTATGCGAAGTAGACGATACTTGAATTTCAATGAAATCCCCGGGATCGACCGCAAAGAGTGATCGATTTGGCGTGGAACGAACCCCGTAGAAGCGAAAGCCGTCAAACGAGGAGAATGACGTTCCGTTCCGTTCGAAGCTAACGCGTGTACAGCCCAAGTTTGCCCTTGCATGAAATAGTATGTGTTTAGTAGAACGGGGGTGGCGGGTCGTTTCTCCGCCGGGATGGGTTTTCGATTAATCCGGAGTCTGTGGTGGCTTGCAGGAGCTGAAGGAAAGCTTCAATTACGGGTTGTTCTGCCCGCCCGTGAATGGAAAAGCCGGAAAATTCTTGGACGAGGAACGTCGCCTAGGCGATTATCCCTTCAATGGACCCGTCGGCTACTTGGAGGTAAGACACCTTTTTTTCTTTTTATCGTTACTCTTCTACCGTTCGTTCCCCGCTACGGTATAGCGGGCCACGACCATACTCGGGATCGCTGGAAATCAGACTTGGACTCGGCAAACGCTGCATTACACGCGATAATCGTTCAAATTTCATCCCCTTTCGATCCAGTAAAACGAAACGCCAGTCTATCCCTGTTTTTCTATTTTTCAGTATCCCAAAAAATAATATTCAAATTGTTTGCTCTGCTAATTTCACGGGCACACCCTTTCTTGAATATAACCCGGGGGTAAATGAAATATTTGTTTTGTCGACGATATTTCAGTCCCGGTTCTATTTAGAATCCATTCGGAAAAAACTACCGACCGGTAATGGGTTAATTTGAATTTTCATCCCTGACCTCGACGTCTATTCTCGTGGAGAATAATTGCCGCGGGGCAGGCTGAATGCCGGGGCTTAAACGGGCTCGGGGTCCGGGGGTGCATTGACGCGGTCGAAAAAGGTTATTTCAGCTACAAGATTGCCCGGCCCCATTGACGTCCGTTCCTCCTTCAAAGAAAACAGAAGAAGTCAAGAATCGGGAAAGAGGTTTGCTTGGTTACGAAGACCAGCGGCTCTTGAATATCAAGGGGGGTTTTGCACGAGAACCAACCCGGAGACCCTCTCGCGTTTTCTGCGTCCCTCGGGTCAAGGAGGTTCCGCGGCTATTTTTTCCCCCAGGCCCTATATATATATTTTTTACCCCTACCCGTTCGCCTCGCGGGGAAACGCGACGCGAGAAAGCAGAAAACAGCGTTGTCGTCGAGTCCAGCGAGGATTCCCGCGATCGACGACGGAAAAAACGAGCGCCGAGACGCGACGCGAATCCATTCGACGGGCACGACACGCGCGTCGCTTTTTCGACCGAGTAATTACCATAAACGATCGATCATCTCGATAGGAGGCGCGTTTCGACGTTACTCTCGCTCGTCCTCCGACCGTGGACTCTACGATTCGATCAGGAACGTCTTGACCGAAAGAACCTCACATTGTATTTACTTCAGCTTCCACTAATTAAACTAAATTTCTTTTCTAATCCTCCCTTGTATTATTTTCCAAATTCTTTGCGCTTCGTTCCACGCGTTGTAATAGTTAAAATCCTTAAGTGGACTCTCAATCTGAACTGAATTATTTTACCAAATGGAAATCAACTCGAAGCATTTAAAAAATAATGAACTTGTTAGTTTTCTACTTAGTTTTAAGCCTTTACAAAAATCAATCTTACTTCCTTGATACACGGAGATGCCGTTTCTCCTTCATCTGTTTATATGAGAAAGGAGATAACGCACCCCTCTTAAATGAGATCATCGGTGCCTCATGTCACAGGCTCTGCGTGCCTAGAAGAGTTAGTCTTTTCGAGCCATTCAAAACGAGAAGATCACTTCCGATGCGTGTAAAATAAAATATTCACATATATATAGAATATAAAGAGTGTTCAATAAAACCCATTTCCCAATAGAACTAATGCAGGATTCCATAAATTTTTAAAATAATTCCATAATCGACTTAAGGGTTAAGAAAGAACTTGGAATGGCTGAGTTATTAGTTTCTAGTAGAGAATTTCCGACGAGCGACAATTTGGTTGTTCGAGGTGGAGGACGTGTCTCGTATCCTGGATTTACCAAATGGAAATCAACTCGAAGCATTTAAAAAATAGTGAACTAATGCAGGATTCCATAAATTTTTAAAATAATTCCATGATCCACTTAAGGGTTAAGAAAGAACTTGGAATGGCTGAGTTATTAGTTTCTAGTAGAGAATTTCCGATGAGCGACAATTTGGTTGTTCGAGGCGGAGGACGTGTCTCGTATCCTGGACACGAGATACGTATCTCGTATTTCTGGAGTCGATGCTCGACGGTGACTGTTGAAACGGGGTTTCGTGAAAAACAAATAATCCCGGTGGTCGGTTAACGAGATCTGGATCTTGCCCGCGGTTTTCTTGCGTAACCGGATCTAGTTCTCATCACGGTGCTCGCATTCCCGCCCTTCTTCATCTTCGTCGTCGCGGACGGGATCGATGCGAGTGCCGATAGCCGCGAAGATTCACTTTTAGGCACGGGGCTCCCATTGGCTGCCTTTCGTTCACCGCGTGTTGCAAATCACCGTGTTCCTTGCGCGAGATCGAGAAAAAACTCTTTTGACGAATGGCTTCTCTCTAGTTTCCTCGTCCTTCGACCGCGCCCGAGGCGTTCCCCGCTGGAAATTGCAAACTTTTACTCGGAATGAACGCTAACTGCTGTTTTAAATAATATTTGAATACTCCGTTCTACGCGAGACTGTTTAAGAATAATTAGAAAATCGATTCAAGGTACGTGGAACGGTTCGCTGTTTGTTTCATAATTATATACATAAAGTCGTTATGTATTTTTCGAAATAACGAGTATTTATTCGGAATATTCGAAACGTTGATTGTTATTTATTCGCGGAAGGTTTTATTTTCATCCGCATTCTGCATCGACATCCGGTAGATTTCCCGCGTATTTGCGATTTATACAAATTATTACGTCGTTTATTTGAAATTATAAATACGGCGTAATGGACGACGGATGCGCGATACATCAGAGATACATATTTGTTGTATTAATTTCTTTCCCGTTTAATAGAGGAAAGAGTCGTGCATTAAAATATTTCGAAGCATTGGAATGGTACTTCGTTACTTTATTACTATTTTCAGAGCCATTATTTGTAACAGTATATCAAAGACTTTTATTTTTACGATAATCGGAGGTTCTACTGCAAATCTGAACCGACTATCCAAGTGAACGCTCGCAAGAATGGGTCGTTTATCGTTTGAAAAGTGCATGTTTTCCAAGGGTGGGTCGCAAGGGGGGAAAATTTGCGTAGGTTTTCCTCGCGAGCGACCTTGGTCCGTGCACGGAGACCGCGGATTTTCAGCTCGTCGGTTTCGCGAAATATTTCAACGTCGAGCTGGAAGATGTAGATAAGGCACGAACGTCCGAAGATGGTACGCGGCGTGTTTTACTTTTTTTCTCGTTGCAGCGCGGTCAGGTTGCTCGCGAGCAATAACGCTCGCCGGATAGAACATGGGATAGAAATAAATACGCGGGGTTAGACAGGCCCATAGATCACCGGTATTCGGTACCGTCGGTATTCGCAACGTCGTCCTTTTTTTCGCCCGCGTTCATCGATCGCTGACCGGCGCGAGCACGGTCGATCTCGTCACGCGAGATTCACTTTCAGGGACGAGCTGACTCACAACCAGAGGAGCCAGCTTCTTCGTCTTCTTCCCTCGGCTACCTGCCCGGCCTGCGTAACAGAAATCAATTTCGAAACAAACTGAACGTTCCCGGGCGAAGCAAAGGGTGGAAATTAGCGCCGGGAACCGTGTTCCAACGAATGAAAATCGAAGGGAGCGTGTTTTTGTCGCGAGCCGCGGAGGACGAAAAGATGATATACGCCCCGAGTTTCCAGCGCGACAGCGCCCCGTATCTCTAATTTGCATTACAACTCGGGGCTCCCTTGATAATCATAATTGCTGCTAACGGTAGTCATTAGCGAGCCTGTACCCGTGATATTGCCTATCCGTCAGTAATCTAATGCCACGAAACAGGACGCCACCGATAATTACAAAGAAGCTGTAACCACCAGGAAGCGGCACGATGAATCCCCCATTAGGCCGAGATAATTTTATACTTTGTGCCGTGGCATTTTCCATCGGATATCTTTACGGCGAAAGGGGAAGGGAAAACAAAAAAATCGCCGCGAAAACCGAGGAAAGAACTGTCTCGAACGAGCAACCGATCTAGTCGCAAATGTCTCTATCATTTCCATAAATTAAAATACCGCGGGGGAGACGCGCCGTTTCATATTTGTTTAACGACGCGTTCGATACTAAAGCGAACGATCGCGTTTCTGATATTCGCAGCTCAAGTACAAACGACGGGTCTACAAGATGCTGCACTTGGACGAGAAACAGCTGAAGGCGATGCACACGAGAACGAATCTGCGAAGGTTACTGGAGTACGTGGCGAACAGCCAGGTCGAGAAGATCGCCAAGATGTGCAGCAAGGGCCTGGATCCAAACTTCCACTGCCAGGACACCGGAGGTAAAGGCAGAGATTAACCGGTTTTTCGTTCGCCCGAAATCCCACCCTGGCGATAATCCCGGGTCGAAAGCTCTCCGCGTTTCCCCGGTAAAAGTAAATTTCATTTGGATAAAAGCCGTGGATGACTTCCTACTGGGAGCACGAAGGCGGCGGAGGTGTAGAGAATCTTGGTGAAACTCGCTAGCAGAGGATAACTGTATTCGGTAACCGGCTGTATTTCTTGTTCGGTTAATTGTAGAGCCGCGGCTACGCGTACTCGTGTTCTGTCGCCTCCGGGATAAGACGTCGACCTTGAGGCTCGCGTCATCGGTTATCCGGGCTCTCTCGCATACTTGAAATTCTCCACGACCAAATTTCGATGCAAACGATGCTCGATAATCGTGGAATTCGTTGATTCTAAGCTACCCTTTTGGCGCTTCGTAGTTTCTTGGCGCTCGAGTCGAGCCTTAATCGGTGTTTGTTAATTTTAAAAAGCTCTGTACCCCTTGCAGAGACCCCGCTGACCCTGGCGACGACCCTGAAGAAACCGTCGAAGGTGATAATAGCGCTGGTGAACGGCGGCGCCCTGCTGGACTATCGAACGAAGGAGGGCCTGACGGCGATGCACCGCGCCGTCGAGAGGAACAGCTTGGAGGCGGTGAAGACGCTACTGGAGCTCGGCGCCAGCCCCAACTACAAGGACACCAAGGGCCTGACGCCGCTTTACTACAGCGTCATCTACAAGACCGATCCGATGCTCTGCGAGACCCTTCTTCACGATCACGCGACGATAGGCGCCCAGGACCTGCAGGGCTGGCAGGAAGTGCATCAGGTTTCGAAGCTGCTTTAATCTTTTACATCTCCAGATCCTCTTTGACAATGACCGAATAATAAATACAGTGGAACCCCTGTCAACTTTCCAACTTTTCCACCATTCCTCATCCCGTTGAAATATCTTCTTTTTCGCTCCTGAACATCGCAACGTTTACTCCTACTTTTCGATATCGGAAATCTTTGAAAGTTTCCTGGCCCGAAGAAGTTTGTAGTAGCTACCAGCTAATGGACAAAGAAGCGTTCGACTCTATTTTGCCGCGGAATAGCTGACCTAATAGGAAGTGACGAATGTATGGCGCCGCTCGCGTCTTGCGCGGTCCGTAGAGATACGCTCGGTACCAGTTAACTGCATTATTAAAGCAGCCACGTTCAATTAATTCGTACACAAACGCGCAGATAACATTTTAACGCTTTATCGACCAACCGAGTTACGCTTGACCGGATACTGCACAGAGTTCGCGATCCGTCTGCAATTGTATGCCGTTCCAAACAGACCACGATCCATTACCTTCCTTCGTTCCTCCTTAATTTAATTCATTGGCGAGGGTTCCATTCTGACCCGAATCTGAACCTCGGCGGTATGCATACCGGCACAAGATTTTTGATCAAACGTTCGAAATGGACCCCACAGCCAGACGTAAATCGCGCAAAGTTTGTGGATCGTAAACGGCGTTGGTCCACGTGTAGGTCGCGGGACAGGGAAGGTATTAACGTCAATGGGGGAGCAATTCGTGATGTTTGTTTACGCGATAGGCGAGACAAGATTGAAAGGAGGGAAGGTAGCAAAGCACGGTTTAATTATAATCGTCGTCCCCTTCGATAATCGATACCCGTTGGTGTTCGCAGGCCTGCCGCAACAATCTGGTCCAACACCTGGATCACTTGCTGTTCTACGGTGCCGACATGAACGCGCGTAACGCGTCCGGGAACACGCCGTTGCACGTTTGCGCAGTGAACAACACGGACGCCTCTTGCATACGGCAGTTGCTGTTCAGAGGCGCCCAGAAGGACAGCCTGAATTACGCGAACCAGACGCCGTACCAGGTCGCCGTGATCGCCGGGAACATGGAGCTGGCCGAGGTCATCAAGAATTATCAGCCGGAGGAAGTCGGTGAGTGCCACGCGACTCTGTCGACGAGATAGGGACGCGCCGGAAGAAGAATTATCGTAAGACGGATACGGAACGAACGCCCGACGCGTGCATCCCGCGTAACTGATCGGTCGATCAGCTTTGGTACACCTCGGTTATGTCCCACCCCCTCGTTAGAGATAGATTTCCCTCGCTTGTCCACCCGGTTAACTGCTATCCACTCGCGGTACTGCCTCGCTTGTTGCGTCGATACGTCTACTGTCCACGTTTCTTCCACCCGGGTGTTGTTAATCTTTGGTGGATGACTAACATTTCCGAGTAATTTTAAACAGATTATAGATATGCGCATTTTAATCTTTAAATTTGTACAGAGAAAGATGATTGAATGATTTCGAGGGGCGCAGAAAGTGGTCCCCGATTAGATTGCAAGAGTAGAGGCAGTATTGTACTTTCCGAGAGTCATTTTATAACCGATTTATGACGAATTCGATCTGATTTGGTACGTTTATCGTCGAAGGAGTTATCTGATAAAACGCGAATTTGATCGATCGATTGTTCGCGAGGATCATTCGTGGCACGGTTAGCCTGGCATGAGCATGTACGTACGGTAGAGCTTCTATTTTTTTTTCTTCTCGGACAACACGCTTGTAACGCCTTGCTTGTAGCGTAGAGTGTAGATGACTCGGACCGATGTTAGATTGTGTAAATATATAGGTAAATATATATCTATACGTATATAAATATATATATATATATTATTGTGCGTGTATCTGTGTCTTTGTGCTGTGCGACATAAGTACGAAGTTGTAAAAGTCTGGTGGTGATCTTTGGTGGTGATGGTCTTGTAAGACGTCGAGTATCTTTGTAACAATAACGACAAGTAACAACAGAGGTTTGATTGATTGCTTTTTGAGTAACTAATGACACCGTAATCTTTGGATCGTCGTCGAGAGACGTCGATGCTGCCTGACTCGAGGAAGCTTCCCAAACGAAGCAGGAAAATAGCTCGAAAAAAGAATTTCGTCGGAAACGTTCTTGGTCCAGCAGCATCGAAGTCGCTAGAAACCAGTTGATTAGTAATGTTTGGTAGTTTCGACGTTATTAAGTCATTCCATAAGTAATGCGGCTCTTTTCGGTACGTATTCAACGTTATACCTGCCTTGCAACAATTCGATCGAAAGAAAAAGAAAGAACACACGGTGATCTCACGTCGAAGATTTCCAAGTATCGATTGTGTTCGTGAACCAGTTATTCGACTATTACACGGCCGTAATTAATAAAACTCGATAATTTGACCAAAGTAGCTCGTAAAATGCCTTCGTTAAACTCCAATTTATTAGACCGTAAAAACGTTATTTTAATTTTATTTATTTGCTCGTTACTGGCTTCAGACCTATAATAATAAAGCTACGCATCGCGTTTGTTGGCCGCGATACCGATGAATATTATGGTGTCTCGTTCTCCCGAGGGATTACTTAAAAAATACACGGACCCCATGGACGATCGCTCTTTCGTATTTATTTCAAATTTTTACTTTCTACGGTCCACCGGTATAAACGTAAAATAAAACGCCATAATTTTCATCGCCCTCGTAGCTGAAAAACTGTGTCGCGTTTCTTTATTAACATAGGTTTATTAATCTTTGCCACTGGTTTGTGTATCAATGACGTTCCTTTTCCACACACCTAACACTCGTTTCTCAACCGCTGTGGTCGCTTTGCTTCCTTTAAAAAGGTCGCGTAACACGATGTACATAATACGCTTTTACTCGAGACTCTCGAATCGGACACGTTTCACCCGCACTCGTGCAATTATTTGTAACGAAGCGACAGACTCCTCGTCTGCTCGTTCCACGGATCCTGGAAAGCCCGCATTACTTGGATGATCTGACAGTTTGCGAGCGTAAGTGTGCCGTCGTGGGCAATCGGAATTTCGTCGTGTAGCGTGACTTGGAAATGACCGGTGCACATGCCATGTCTCAACCGAAACACGAAGACCCGTCGATGGCAATCTCGGGCACATTGTATCGCACAAAACGGATACAAGAATGCGTGACTTTTTTCCCGCGCGTGCTTCTCGCCGCTTTCTTGTACAGGGACTGACGGAAACGTCCGATCCGTCGCGCACTGGTCAATTTTAACAATCCGGTCGAACGAAGCTACGAAAGGGATGTTTCCGGCGAACGAACAATCCGTCCAATTCTTAAAATAGACGTTTGCGAAGCAAAGAGAAACCAAAAGCCCCCGAGAATTTATTCGCGTGATAGTCGAGAGAAACAAGAAACTTGTAGTTTCCGGGAGTTTGTTTTAAATTATCTGAGAGAACTCCGTGATAAAGTGATTTAATTAAATCGAAGTATTTTTGGAACGAATTTTTCAAACGACGATGCCTCCACGAAACAGATTTGCCCGATTGGGCGTACAAGCAAACCCCTCGAAGTCCCTTAACCCCAACCCCTGTGTATTTTTAGAGACCCGGTGTCACGTCTCGTTGACCCATTTCTGAAATACGACTCGACGAAGCGGAACAAGAAATACGAAGGTGCGTTCGTACGCCCTTAATCGTTTTAACGTAGATAGTCAGTGAATATAAGGGACGTTATTACTGGTTCGGAAAGACAAAGTAAGAGTTCTAGATGTTCCGAGAGTATTTTCGAAGATGTTGAAAAAAGATTTGCCACGCTCCGACCGCGGTCCGGTTGCGGCAATGGTCGTGCGCCAATTTGTTTTAACGATGCCACAGCGTGGAGGCGATAAGGAGAAAAATACTAAAGCTAATGGAGACGGTTACCAAAGACGAACGAGACTATGCAGCGCGGACAAGTTTATTCGTAGAAGGAGAACGCGATGATGCAACTCTCCCTCGAGCGTTTGTCTGCATTGTATCGAACTTGTACGCGTTTAGAAATCGAGAATCGAGAAAGAAAGAACGTTAATTTGCAAAAGAAGATACAAGACCCCCGGTACAGTAAAAACCAGATTGCTAGCTAATGACGGAAGCGCGGCTCGACAGGTTTTTTATCGTCGTGCAAACCCATGGAGACGAAATTTTAATTACCGGGGACTTTTGGTTCTGTTTGGAACAGTTTAACGCACCTTCGACGATATTTTATGACAGTAACATAAACTGCTAATGGACGAATCCCGCGCGATAAAACCTGTCGTTGAGATAATTTAGATCCCACGTGTACATTCTGGCTAATATAATCACCGTCGAATGATCCATCTATTTTAAGAATTTCGTGAGATTCGAGTACGATAACCGTACGGGGGAAAAAAATTGAGAAACTGAGCAAAAAGGGAGCCCGTAAATATTCCTCGTGTAATTTCGAGCATCCCGTGCCGTTAAAACTGACCAGAGTGCGTCGTCGTTGTTAATACGCGTACGATCACCCGCCGAGCAAAAGATTACTGTACGCGCGCGTGTATGCGTGCGTGCGTGCTGGAGGCGACCAGTAAGTCTGCATCAGAGAGTCCTCAGCGAAACCACCCCGATGTACGGTCGAACGCGTCGTGCCGAAGCCAGTCGAAACGACCACCCACCACACCCCCGTGTGCAAAGTTACGTTCGTTCGGGTATTCGGGACCCGGTCCAAGGTCGTCGACGCGCTTAACGTTGCGTAAAAATATCTGATATGTAGAGGAGGCGACGGTATCGGAGAGAGACCGTCGCTCCGTGGAAGACCGGGGATACCCTTCGGAGAGCGCCTACTTGTAAGGCTAAGTAATCCTTTCTTTACTTAACCTTGCAACCCTCGATTTTCCAGTACCGTTTAAAGGGCCGCCACGCTACAACCCGAAACGACGCTCGGTGGCTTTCGCCGGCACGTCGTCGATGACCACGAGCTGCTCGGCCAGTAACCTGGGCACCCTGACCAGGATACCGTCCGCGGAGCAACAGCACGTCTCCTCGGGGACCGGCGCCCCTGGAGGCAGCCTCACCAGAACGATCTCTGTGGAGCAGTACACATCGAGCGTCCACGCGGTCACGAGAGTACCGTCCGCCGAGCAATACGCGGCCGGCAGCCTGACCAGAGTACCGTCCACGGAACACCAACAGTATCCATCCATCGGCACGCTGAACAGAGTACCGTCCGGTGATCAATACGCCAGCCCTATCGCGACCGCGACCGGTACGGTGACCAGGGTATCGTCGTCCGCCGGCGAGCAATACTCGTCGACGACCGGTACTCTGACCAGAGTACCGTCCACCGAACAATACCCGACCGGCACGCTAACCAGAGTACCGTCCACCGAGCAGTATCCGAGCAGGACTCTGTCCGGCGAGCAGTACGCCGGCACGACCGGTATCGCGAGGACGGAGTCCCATCACGCAACCCTCGGCAGAGTACCGTCCATCGAACCGACCAGAAACGACCTACAGAGAATACCGTCCGAGCACCACGTACCCGCCAGACCCGAGCAGAACGGCCATCGGATCACGACGGACTACCAGAGCCCCAATTCGCTGAGGGATCCTAACGCGAGGTAAGCATAAACTGTCTTTGCGGTCCCTCTTGCGAAACTCCGGATGCTCGCGGGAATTCACAACACCCCCTCAACCCTTACGGATCTCTCCAATTCTCGAACCGGTCTAACCGTCCACGCGGTATCCGGCTTCTCGAGTACGGTTGAATACCGTCCGGGGCTCTCGAGCGTCTCGACCTTCCTTAGAGAGAGCTTTTCCATTTTTCAGACGATCGATTTCGAACTGTGGACGGTGGTCGCTGGTCCGCGACGCGAACAACGCTCACGCAAAATGGAATCTCGATGGTTTCGCATCGAGAATTCGTTCATACTCCCATTGTTCGCGACTTTAATCGCGGTATTCCACGGTACTCGATATAGGACTTGCGATACCTTGGACGGTATTGACCGCGATGCCTGGTGTCCATTGGAGAGTTTCATCCCTAAGGATGTTCGAAATGATCGATTTGTCGTTCCTTGATCCGTTGCACTCCTATGTTGAACGTAACATCAGTTTTTATCTCAGGAGCTCCTCCGTCGAGTCAATAGTGTAAATAAAACAGATGTTTAATTGAATTTCTTTCTTTCTCTATCTATCTAAATTGCCCCCGGTTAGTCAAGAGGTTAAAGCTCTCTTAGACATTTTTATTTCCATTTTTTTTTTGCAAAAATCGGTCATTTCCTAACATCTTCCTCGATCATCGGATTCGTATCGAACAAAGTTTGTACCCCAATTCTCGATATCGATTCCGGGGAGAAAAGTTCTCGAATGGACAGTCCCGGGGATTTAAAGCTCGCAGTCCCCCCCCTCGAACCCGCGAACTGGTCTTCCGTAAACGTGTGCGGGATTAACCGACCGCGTTGAAGCAAAGACAATTTACGCTAATCTCGTGAGATTTGTCGAGCACCGGGTCGAACGGTCCCGTGTTCCTCGCTCTATACGCGTGTTACGCTCCCATTTCAAGATTACCAGCCAACGCGGAGAACTGTCAGAACTTAAGAATGGAGGGTCTGACGAGGCTGCAAGAACACCGGCTCGAGCTGCAACAGCGTCTCGACATGCACAGAACGATGGAGATGCCGCCGTCGCCGTCGCCTAGTAGCCGAAGTCTAGCTCCTTTCAGCTCGGCTAGCTCGAGCCTCTCCGAAGGCAGCAATCAACCGTCCGGCGAAGATTCCGCCAGCATCGTCACAGGTATACATGCACACATACACGCGAAAACACACACAGGTGTTATATTCACTTCGACTTCCATCCAAACCGGGACCACTCGCTGGCTATTTTGGACACGAAGGATCGAATCTGGGAGGTAATGATATATCGATGGAGAGCGAGAGAAAGAGCATTTTGTACGTTTTGGCGAGACTCGAACGTCGAACCATCACCATCAGAATATCGGTAGGGCCGAACGCGAGCTTATAGTCGCAGCTTTCATCCTCCGAACGTTGCTCGTCGATTTTTTGTGGAACAAAATGAAAATATTCTAAATGCTCCTCCCCAAGATATAGTCTCTATGAATGAAAATGCGTAGAATATTTTTAAGTGTCGTTTTATAAATAATCGTCGAGCAACGGTTGGGTGGTGTCTACCTAGAATATCGTTGTCGCAAACTATAGTCGTTAGCCTTCCATCGAAGAGGAGTGTTCTTTTTTAGCGTTAAGATAGCTTTACTCTGTTGAGAGTCTAGGCGTTGCACGACGTTCGTCGGTCGAAGGCGATCAATTAAATCGCGCAAACGGCTCAGTGGTGGCTTCTCTGTTCCATGAATTCGTAGACAAGAGCCTCGGCGACACGGCCTCGGACGTGATCAGCGACAGTTCCGGTGTCGGGACCTCGCAGTCGGACACGACCATTTCCCTATCGATCCCCGGGACCACCGTCGTCTGCGTCGAGAGCTACAACAGCGGGATCCTGGGCCATCTGAGCATCAATCAAGGAGATATCCTCGAAGGTACAGCATCCGTACTCGAACTATGATCCATTGCACTCGCAAGGCTAGCTCGAGTAACGACTCTGACGAGACTTTGCCCTTACGCGTTTTTAAAGACCACTTGGTGATCGTCGAGATCGAGCACGTTGAGCTTTTCTTGCGAGTCTGGTTCGGGCGCCGGAAGCGGCTCGATGTCATTCGTTGTGAATTTCTGTTTTATAGGTATTCTCCAAATATTAAATGTTCTGATGGCAAGGGTATTCTTTTTGTTTCATTATTTTGAACAGTCACGGGTGCTACCGACTGTGGCCTTCTCGAGGGAGTCCTTCGTGGACAGGGCACGGGTCTGTTTCCTGCGCACTGCGTGCAGGAAGTCAGACTTCGCCACACGAATATCCCGCTGGGGCCCCAGCCCGCCAGGGACGGACGGAACAGGGTTCTGGGCCGCAGAGAATCGCAGCACAAGTATTTCGCCACCGCGCCCAGACTGAAGAAACCGTGAGTCGATTTTGTACACTGAAATTTTTCCACCATAGACTAGTTAAATTCCCATTATCAATATCGTTGCGATCCAATTCGACGCTTATTAATTTATTTGTTTAACGAGCAAACAACCTTTAAATATTCAAAGACCCTAACAATCTGATTGCCTCCGCCTCAAGACTATCGGAGGATAAATGAAAAATTCTTTTAAAATTCTGGTCCTCGATAATTTTCCATTGCGATCGAGTCCGAGTAACTTTAAACGCGAACCATTCTGGCCGCTCGAGTCTGAAGGAGCCTGTAGCACGCACGCAAGACAGTCGGAGGAGAAATTTCAATCTAATAGAGACGAGTACCAATTTCCTCGAACGTCATAGCCTTGAGTGATAACGGAAACGATGCTGTTTATACGCGCGGTTCACCGTTATTCGATTTAATGATGTTGCAGAGTTACGTCGGAGCCTCGCACCGTGGTATTGCACCGCTCGAGAAAAGGTTTCGGTTTTGTGCTACGAGGTGCCAAAGCGACTTCACCTTTGATGGAACTGACGCCGTCGGCCAGGTATCCCGCCTTGCAGTACTTGGACGACGTCGATCAAGGGGGAGTGGCCGACCTGGCTGGTCTTCGGAAAGGAGACTTCCTCATCCAAGTAACTTCTTGCTTTTGTCGTTCGTTTCTTTACGCCTACCGTCACGATCCCAGTTCTTGCACTGGCACGAAACCTATCGTTCCCGATAGATTTTTCGTACTGAATTCTTGCATCCCCTTAAAAAATCTTTCGTCGATCGCTTTTGTACATCTCCCAACAGAGGTGTACACTTTTTTCTTCCGCACTAAATGATTTCTGATATCCATCACCGACTTTGGGGGACTCTTTTCACCCCCTTTAACCCTCAAGTGGATTATCAGGGCCCTCCGTAAATTTAAACTAACAGTTAACTCCATCGGTTCATTATTTTTTAAATGCTTCAAAGGATAGCTGATTTCCATTAACCAAAATCAACATCGAGTAAAATAATTCAGTCGAGATCGAGAGTCCACTTAAGGGTTAAAATGTAGACAAAGATCTCGTAAAATTCCATTGAAATGATTGTCAGTATGGTGGTTTAGTATCCGCCGTACGAACGCTGAATGGTTTTCTTTGAACTGCTCCATAAGCAGTGCACCAAAACGCATGGTCTATTCGTGCATAGATCAACGGCGAGGACGTGACGACGGCGTCGCACGAACACGTGGTAGATCTGATCCGGAAATCCGGCGAGCTGGTCCGGATGACGGTGGTGTCGCCGATGATCAGCCTACCGAATTCGCAATCGGCAGCCATTCTGCCAACTAGTCAACCCATACAGAGACAGTACGCGACCCTGCCGCGCAAAGGGAACAACAACGTGGTGATCGGTGGTACCCTCGGACGATCACCAGCCCCCATGCCGCCGCGACGGGACCCTAAAACGACGCTGAGCGTCGGCAGGGCCCGCGCCAGATCGATGGTCGCGGGTTTGGGTGAGTCTCGCTCAAATTACAACGATTCTCTACTAATCTTTCAAACGTATATCTTGAGAAATCGATGAATTCTTCATCCGTGAGTATCCAAATGAAAGATTTGCTAAAGCGTTTGTGTGTGGGAGGCGCAGAAGGGGGCGGCGAGAGGGACGATCGCGACGAGATCACGTCGACGGGGGCCAAATCGAGCAGCGCGGAGTCGATACATCTTCCTCAGCAGCCATCAACGGGGCCCAACACCGGCCAAAACACACCCGTGCAACCGAGAACGGCCAGTATCCGATCGAGACCGACCTCCAGCAGGATCACCGCCGCGGAACTGGAGGTAGAGATCGACGCGTCCCGCGGAGTATCGGTTTGCTCGACTCTGATCGCGAACGACGCGCTTCTTATTCTCCTTTGAATGGCGTTGCACGACACCGACGCTTCACGCTTCGTCCTTCCTCTTCTTCCAGGAACTATTTCAGCGGCAGCAAGGTAGCACCAGTGGTCAGTACAGTTCGTCCATGATGAGCTCTCACTTTCAGACTGGTCAAGCTACCAAGTCGCATCCCTCCTCGCCCGCAAAGACCGGCCGGGTATACGCGAGCGTGGCCGAAATGAAACGCAAAGGCAAAGTAAGAACACACACCACCCTCCAACGTTAATTCACTGTGTATCTTTATTTCTATTCGGTCTGCCTCCTAGTCGATCGTGAAATTGGTGGAATCGTAGAATGGCTCTGTAGTCGTAGATCTTAACCCGTCCCAGGTCCCTATACGTACGGTTTCGAACGATCATCGAGTGATCCCTTGATCAATTTTGGGGCAAAGCGTTTCTAGAGATACTAGAATAGAGTAAAGTCTCGCATAGATTCTAAAAACGTGGACGATAGAGGCGTGCAACCTCCGACGGGTTAAGCAAAGAACATAATTGCCTTTTCCGCGGGTTTCCCAGCGACGTAAGCTATCGTTTAATATTTGAAACCCTCGGAGACGGCAATCACAACCCTCGAACCCCCAAGTGTCTAATTTTCCGTAACAATAGTTTGGGTACGTGGTTGTTAAACCTTCTTTGTTCGCCCCCTCGTAGAATTTTCATGCTAATCCCGTTTTAATTAGCCTTTGGCGGCCCCGTTGTTAATTGTTTTCAACCCGTTCTTCACGTTCCAGTTCAGACTTAGAAATACTTTTTGCAGATATAACTGATAAACCTCGACGATGCATGCTCGGGGGATGGGGTAAGGTGACGGTGGCTGTTTTTACGCATGTGTGTTATAGTTTTCTCGCAAGCCAGCACGAGTGTACGGCAAGGGGCGTTCCTGGTACGAGAGAGACAACGAGGACGACTTATATTACTGATCGAAAATACTTTGTTTCTAGCGCGTCCATGACTTGCATGATTCCAGGTGACTAAGCCATTTGCTAATGAAAATCCGATGCTCGAAAGGGCATCGGATATCACCTTCAGCTTTACGAACACGCCTCGCAGAACTAACGATGTGTATCCGTCTAACGAACATTTTAATTACTTTGCTTTCACTTTTTTTGCATGAAGCTTCCTCCTACTCGCGCACCCGTGCACGGTAAGCCCCTAAACGCTCAAGTGTTATTTAACTGGTATCGCGTCCTCGAGTTCGCGGGTTGCACTCTCGATCCTGCACCCGGACATCCACCGCCACCGGGGAACACGAGCGTTAATTAATTACTTTCCGGACGCTCTCGATTGCGAAATTGGAAAACCTACTCGTAACACTATCTCGTGCCTCGAAATCCACGAACGTACCGGAAACGTTCCATCTCACAGGACTAACGGGTGCTCCGTGGAAAACTAACATACTTGCGCGCGTGTTTCGTGGATGAAATATCTTTACGAACGAGAGTCTTGGCCTTTTCGGTTTGGGGAGGTCAACATGTCGCCGTTGAAGTTCCCATCCGCTTTGTTCGACGCTTGAGACACACGTAACGTTTTGTACATATTGTCCGTGACTGTCTCGATTTTTCCGTTTACGTAAGAAAGTAGTGCGTGCTATTGCGTTCAGCTATTGTTTTCGTGACCGCTGAAATACAACGTCGTTCTCCGGATCGTTCGCCTCTCTGAATTCGTGCGTTTGTCCGCAGTCGAGCTCGAGAGTGCGGTTCTTCGGCGGCCTGGGCGGCGGTTCCGACCTCCACAGAGACTTTCACAGTACCCCGGACTTGAACGTGCAGGTCCAGTCGTCGGTTCTAGCTCCGAAAGGGCACAGAAGCCAAGAGGACGTGAACGCTCTCAACGGCAGAAACGGGCTTCCACCTCCGAACCATCCGCCCCCGCCTCCACCGGTCGGACAAGTTGTCAAAGTAAACGTGGGCGCCAACGTACCGGACGTGGTCACGCCGGCTTCTGTCTACGATAATATGGCTCACATACAGCAAGTCAAAGGTACTTTATCCACCGCTGATACAATGACTCTCGCCCTAAGTAATTATTGGATCGAATCCATTTATTATCTCCTGTTCTTTACAACGTGAAAAATGATGTGTTTAGAATTGGCAGCCGCGACGACCGAGGGAGGATACGGCGTGATGTCGAGCTTCCGGCCCTCGAACAGCGCGAAGCTGTACGCGTCGCCGGAGGACACGAAGACGGTGGGTTATCGTTCACGCAGCCTCCCGGCGCACACGACCCGCTGTCACGTGAGGAAATCGCACAGCCTGCGAACGCCGAACAACACGACGTTCAAGCCGATCGGCGGCCAGCAGAACGCGAACAACGCGTCGGGCAACAGCAATCAAACGGGCAACAATCAGTACGCGCAGCCATTGAAAACGAACAGAAGCCACAGCACGGCGGGCATCAGGGAGCGCAAGAAGAAGGGCATCGCGGCCAGCTCGTCGGTGACGAATCTCTCGTCGTTGTCGAACAGCAGCGGACCGACGGTGGCCAGCTCGGCGGCGCCGCCTATCCCCGAGCCGGATTACAGCCTGTCGGAGTCGGAGAACGACGAGGGCGAGGAGGAGACCGACGACGACGGTGAGTCGGAGATCGCCAAGGAGCTGGAGAAGGCTGCCGCCAGGGAGAAATTGGAATCCACCAGAGAGACGTCCGGTAACTCGAACACCTCGGGCTCTAGCTCGTCCGGTAGCAGCTCGTTGCCGCACTCGTTCAGCGTCGAGGAGATACAGAAGGTGAGGACGCAGCTCAAGTCGTCCAAGAGCCATCCGAACGACTTCCTGCTGCAGCAGACGCAACAGTCGCTGGTCGAGGACGGCGACAACAGCTCGAGCGGGGTCAGCTCCGACCAGGACGTACCTGTCGGACCGCCCACCGGTTTCGACGACACGGCCGCGAGAAACTTGGCGAACGAGACGGGCCAGCATCCGACGGTGCTTACGGTGACCAGCAACGAGAAGGAAGCCAACCCGAAGAGGACCAGCTACGGGGGCAGCGGACTGCTCACCAGACACGCGGTGAGCCTGGCTCAGCTGCCACCCCCGATCGAGGCGGACGCGGAGGAGCAGAGCAACGACCTCTTCGTGCCGCCACCGCCGGAGTTCAACGCTGGACCATCCGCGGGTAACGGCGACGAGATGGTATTTGCCCCGCCGCCCCAGTTCTGCGACAACAAGCAACAACAGCAGCAGCAGCAACCGCAGCAACAGAATCGCGTGAAGATCATAGGCGCGATACCGAAAGTTACCAACAATCAGGTGAAGGCTTCCGGTGGACGGTTGCATAACCAGTGAAGAGAACGATCGTCGTGAACTGTTCGAATCGCGCGTGATCCTCGATCACGATCGACAGAGTCAATTTAATCTCTCCGTATTTAACCCTTCTTCTCCCGTCGGGGATCGTCGCGTCGAGAATCGAGATCGCCAGATAGACACGTACACGCGCACACACTAACACACACACACAGACACGAGCGCGTACACGCATACGTACATACACGCGATTTTTGCAATAAATTTTTCACACGATAACAGGACGCGTTCTCGCGGCGTAGGAGTTTTTTGTAAGAAGCGACTGGTCCGCGCTTCGATCGAGAGAGTCGCTCGATCGCGCGTACGGCGGCGTTAGTCGGTCGAAAAACATATTCAGCGAGTTTTTACCGTAAACGTAGATGGTACGTAAATCGGGTACGAGCCGCAAAATAGTCAGAATCCCGTGTAGCCGTCTCGCGGAAACGGCCTAAGGGGTCGAATCCCGGAGGAAGATCCACGAGCCGCGAACCGTAGCTCGTAATTAGAGAGAAAGAGTGAGAGAGAAATTCTTGTACAAGTGGAAACGTAGCGAACGAATGTCTAGCGTATAATCGGGGTTTGTTTTTCATGTTTCTATCGTGATTACGACGCGTGTTTTAATACTTTTACATTTAACGACCCCTTCAACGATCCTCAACCTATCGCTCCTCGATCCCACCCCCCTCCATCGATTTCGAGGCGTCGAATCGGTCCACTGCTGTTCGAGGAAGATGGCGAGTCGTTACAGAGGTGGGCAAAGTTTTTCTCTGGATTATGAAGCTGGCGAAAGGTAAAAGAACTTTGGTAAAATTGCATAGAAAGGGCCTTCGTTCCGATTTTAACAATTTTGTTATACGTAAAGGGTGATTCCAGGGGCGATAATTAATTTAATTAATTTCACCCCCCTTTTTTCTGTTTATCAACATTGAATCATAACTGGATGGTCAAGTTACTGAAAATATCTTTTAGTTTCATTTTCTCTCCAACTTGATCCCTTCTAAAAAGATTTTATTCCTCATTTTCGAATGTTCTTTACACCTGAGAATGTCTTCTGCTAGATTCTAATCCCCGTGTACGTTCTGGATGACATATTCCTGAGTACTCTGACGCAAAAGAATAGTTGCTTGCCCTTCGTTTCGAAGATATAACTACTATAAATCCTCGATTGTCCCGTAGACAGAACTCAACCAACCTGGACCTCCACTTTTCATTCCCAATGGTCTCGGTTGTTTCGATTCTGTTTGCAAAACAGTGACGACGAACAAACAATTTTAAAGTTGGAATAATTACCTACTCGGGCTTCTTATCGGAGCATCCCTACCAACAGGCAATTATGACGTGACTTAGTGTCGAGAGCTAAACGCGAGCAACCAATATTTTTATAAGGGGAATACTCAGAAATATTTTTCCTCCGACGTACAGTCGATTCCTGTTAATTAACATAGCTGTCCAAACTGGAATCCACCGTCTACTGATACCATGAAAATCGACAAAGACACCCCTTTCGACCAGTTTTGCCACAGCTTCTAAGACTAGAATTTCAATAATAAAACGAGGTATCGATCGTTCGACAGAAGCGTTGCCCATTTCGAAGACGCTCGAATCGAAGATGCCGCGTGCCGACGGGTTGGTTAGCTAAATAGTAAAAGAAAAAGAGAAAAAAATGAAAAATAAGAAAACGCGCGCGATTGAGTTCGATTCCGTTTCTCTCTCTCGTGTCTAGACACTGCTCAAGAGCCTAATTACAAACTTCTACTCGCAAAAAGTCATTAGAGATTGTTTCTAGTTTGTAATAACGATTAAAATAGCGCAACGACGAGTATGAATTTATCGCTAAGCTCTCGTAATCCGCGTTAATAGAGGCGCACTGTACTACTACGTTAACGCACCAACATTATTCAGCTTGTAAGATAGAAATCGTATTCCTTCCAGATTCGAATCAGGCTGCTGGGAGCCGCGAGACATTGCAGCTCGACGGGAAAAACCTGTTGATCGAGCATATTCGTTACGTCAACGGTGTTCCCCCATTTAAATCTTTGCGTTTTCGATCGGGACGAAAGTGGCTCGCGCTCGAGCGACGAACAAATTCTGCACACCGATTGTTTTCACTGTCGTAATCGATGTCCCGCCGTTGATTTGCCCCTTTTGTATATAGTGCAACGCACGTCGCGTCGGATAAAAAATTGTTTCGAAGGAACCGTACGTACCGTACGACAAAGGTAAAAAAGAAAAGAAAAAAAAAGGCAAGATTCTCGCGACTCTCGGTGACAGTGCTACATACTGTATATACCGGAACAACATTGCTATGTATCGAATAATCTATAACGATGGAATGATTATTATCGTCGCATTTACGATCGTCGCGATAGAGTCTAAGCGATTATCCATAAAAAAAAAGAACAAAAAAAAAATACGCAACGTCCTTCCTAATTATTGTTTCTATGCCTTTTCAAGTTTAAAAGAAAAGATTAAAGAAAAAAAAAATCATATTCATATACAGACACAGCGAAGTACGATAATTAAGTCATCGGCATGCTCGTCGGAGCATGAATGAAAGAGAACAGTTTCCGAGTCGAAGGGAATCGTATAAAGATAAGTATTGAATGTTCCTTAGATATTTTATTGTTTGTTTTACGATCGATAGAATGCGCGGGATCCGCCCGTCGCGGTTCTCTGTCGGTGTCTAAAAAAACTTTCGACGATCGACTGGTTGAATTCGGGTCAGTAAAGCAATATTGTACGCATTACAACGGCTCCGTGTAATAATAAACCGTTTCAGAATAGAATTCTATCTTTGTTTCCGATCACGGCGAACGGTTTTCTTTTCTATTATTGACGATACGCGCGTGAAAGGTGTATTTAACGACATTCCTGCCAAAACTAATTATAATAGTGTATATTGTATCAAAATTTATGGAAGAGTTTACGCGTGACACGCTCCTTTGACGCGTCGATGCATTTTAATCTATTTCTTCTCGGTCGTTTTGCGAAGCTGGTTGACAAAACACGCGATACCAATCCGAACGGAATCTCCTCGAGAAAATGACGGAGACGTTTTCTTCTTCGAGGCGATCGATCTGTAAATGTCTCTTTGTGTTTTAGTTAAATGATAACTGGTGCACTTTGTCGAGGAGCCTCCACTTCTGTTCGTTTTGATAACGTATTTTTGGACATCCTGAAGGCTTCAAGATGCTTCGAGGATATTATTCGAACGTAGCCCAATTTGTTGCCGAAGAACGTTTAACTCGGTACACGAGATCATAGTGTTTTCTATAGCTTGCTCCAAATGAAAAGTTTCGCGTAGCTGCACTCGCATTAATCATTTCCTGAACTGGGGCGTTATGCGTGCTGCTCGTGGTGACAGAGAAGGAATATAGCCGTCATCTGTGCATAACGTTTCTACAAGTCCTGATCAAGCCGTGAGACATTTTCTTCCGTCGATTATTTTCGTATGCACTCGGAAGATAGCCCCAAATTCCTAGAATCGCCCTGTACATGGATTTGTTACGATGCAAGGATCGGTGCATCGTCGTCGAAGGCGTAACAAAAGACAAGACACGGACTGGATTCTTGTCCAAGTTTCAGTTATCCTGCGTACCCTATCCTCCCTATATCCAACTTTAGTCATTTGCTCGACGTTTGATACATCTCCCTTTGTTCTTAGTTACGATTATAATATTATTATCCTACGATTACCGTTAGTACCTTTTGTACTATAATTACTGTATCACGAGTTGCAAGATACGTGCAATTTTTCGACGATAAATAATAATCGATCATGTTCAAATAACGACGGCATAGTTTACTACAATGGCCCCTTCATGTTCGATAGCGTCGCCTCGACTTGTCTTTAATGGTTCCCTACGTTTCTTGAGATTGTTTCTAGCAATCGGCGTTTGGAGTTTGCAGTCCTTTGGTAATATATTTTATTTAATCAAGTAAGATCGCAATGCTCTTCAAGCTAAAATATTCTTGGTCCCACATACTGGTACCTTGCTAAATATTTACAAAGATACCTCGAGTTCCATGTGTTATTCCACCGAGCTATGAAAACGAATGAAACACGTTTTTATGGTAAGCTAGAAGAATTCTATCTGTAGTGGTAAGTACTGCCTCGTTTACCCAATGGATACAATATAACAAATACTAGCGAGTTATATAATTTTTCCTCCCTTTAAACAGAGGAATTATAAGCTGATAGAAACTTACTGATCAGGAATGATCAATTAGTTTGCTTAATAAGCATACAAGGATCAGTCGTAGCCTTGCTTATTCAGAACTTAAACCAGCCGCCATTTGCAAATCATGGTGGTCAGAGTGCAAAGCATCTGGTGGCAGAATACAGAAACTATTTCTCCATAAAATTGTACCTCCTGCTGCTATAGACGATAACTGTAGAGTTACATTTAATATTATTTCTCGATCGATGACTGGCATCACAGACGAGGTGTACCTTTGTAAGAATTTTTAAGACGTTGCAGAACTTAACCTTTACGACTCGTTCGTTCTCGTTAATTATGTCTTACGATTGTAATGTATATATAATATACGATTAAATTATAACGATTATTCTGGCACAGAAGAGCTATACGAGTAGACCTTTTACCTTATGAACTTTCGTGGCCCAATCTGACTGCCATATCGACTTGGATGGTGGTCGGTTGAAAAATTATTCACCGAATTAGTAGTGAAGGTGTAGTGTGTCAATTGACTATGGGAGGGATTGAAAAAGGCAATCCAGTATTATCAGGAAACCACAGGAAACTACCACTCCACTTATACACTCTAATGTATAACCATCTTGTATATGAGTTCTGGTGCTTCGTATAACTTCGAGGATTCGAGAAAGGAGGAGAATGTTTCATTTTTTACTTTCCGACATGCCTCTACTGGTCTCTGCGCTTGTCTCTGCTGGCCACCACTGGCATCTGTTGACCGCTACTGATCATTCCTGATACTTCTGACAACGTATAACGATTATAACTTGCTACTGCCAGCCTCTCCCTGCATATGCTAGCTTCTGCTGACCACCGCTTATATTTCTGACAACGTGTAACTATTACTACTGACTGCTGCCTGCCTCTGCTGGCCTCTGCTGACCGCTGCTGACCATTCCTGATACTTCTGAAAACGTATGACGACTACAACTTGCTACTGCTTGCCCCTGCTGGTCTCTGCTTGCTACTACTTGTCACTGCCGGTCTTCACTGGTCTCCACTGGACTCTGCTGGCCTCTGCTGACCACTGCTGACCACTGCTGACCACTCCTGTTACTTCTGACAACGTATAACAATTACAACTTGCTACTGCTTGCCCCTGCTGCTCTCTGCTTGCTACTACTTGTCACTGGTGGTCTCCACTGGACTCTGCTGGCCTCTGCTGGCCTCTGCTGGCCACTGCTGACCATCCCTGATGCTTCCGACAACGTACAACGATTACAACTTGCTATTACTTGCCCCTGCTGGTCTCTGCATGTCTCTGCATCCCTCTGCATCCCTCTGCTGGGCCTCTGCTGGCCTCTGCTGACCACTGCTGACCACTGCTGACCACTCCTGTTACTTCTGACAACGTATAACGATTACAACTTGCTACTGCTTGCCCCTGCTGGCCTCTGCTGACCACTGCTGACTACTGCTGACCACTCCTGTTACTTCTGACAACGTATAACGATTACAACTTGCTACTGCTTGCCCCTGCTGGCCTCTGCTTTCCACTGCGTGCCACTGCTGGTCTCCACTGGACTCTGCTGACCACTGCTGACCACTGCTGACCATCCCTGATGCTTCCGACAACGTACAACGATTACAACTTGCTATTGCTTGCCCCTGCTGGTCTCTGCATGTCTCTGCATCCCTCTGCATCCCTCTGCTGGGCCTCTGCTGGCCTCTGCTGACCACTGCTGACCACCCCTGATGCTTCCGACAACGTATAACGATTACTACTTTGATACCGCCTGCCCCTGCTGGTCTCTGCTTGCCTCTGCTGCCCCCTACTGACCCCTGATGGCCCCTGTTGGCCTCCGCTGACCACTGCTGACCATCCCTGATGCTTCCGACAACGTACAACGATTATAAATTGCTATTGCTTGCCCCTGCTGCTCTCTGCTTGCCTCTGCAAGCCTTTGCTGCCCCCTGCTGACCCCTGCTGACCACTGCTGACCACTGCTGACCAACGCTGACCTTTGTCGACATCTTCTGATATGATGTATATGTATTAAAGCCTTGTATAATGTAAATCTATTGCAATAAATGTTATAATTTTAAAGAATTCTATGTCTTCTCGTCATTTTTACCTTCCTTTACCTCTCCAAAGCATTCCCATAGTTATAAGATACGTGCCACAACTTCCCATATCATGTCCTCCTAATAACAAAGTCTAAATTGAACTTAAAACCGCCACGGACATACGCTCGAAAAATTTCTAAGTTCCTCGAAAAGATTTGATGGAGGGGTCCCGTTTAAATTATTTTTGGAAACAACTGGGAAGTCCTGAAACAATTGGAAAGTCCTGAAACAGCTGCAAAGTCCTGAAACAGTTTTTAATTTTGGAAATCCCGAAAAATTGGAAAGTCCTGAAACAATTGGAAAGTCCTGAAACAGCTGCAAAGTCCTGAAACGACTTTTAATTTTGGAAATCCTGAAAAATTGGAAAGTCCTGAAACAGCTGGAAAGTCCTGAAACAACTTGGAAAGTCCTGAAACGACTTGGAAAGTCCTGAAACAGCTGCAAAGTCCTGAAACGACTTTTAATTTTGGAAATCCCGAAAAATTGGAAAGTCCTGAAACAACTTGGAAAGTCCTGAAACGACTTGGAAAGTCCTGAAACAGCTGCAAAGTCCTGAAACGACTTTTAATTTTGGAAATCCCGAAAAATTGGAAAGTCCTGAAACAATTGGAAAGTCCTGAAACCGCTGGAAAGCCCTGAAACAACTTGGAACCCCTGAATTTTTAGCAAATTTCAGAGTTTCAGGACTTTCCAGCTGTTCCAGGACATCCCAGTTGTTTCAGGACTTTTTGACGAAAAAAATGAATTCTCGATTTTGCCAGCAAGTACGAGAGTGACGGTTACATGAAAGAATTTGGAAATCCAATTTTAACCGGAAAAACGGTCTCTTAAGACTAAGGCAATGATTTGGAGAGGAAAAGAAAGGTAAAAATGATGAGAATACATAGAATTCTGTTAAATTATATCATTTATTGCCATAGATTTACATTATACAAGGCTTGAATACTTATACATCATATCAGAAGTTGATAACAAAGGTCAGCGTTGGTCAGCAGTGGTCAGCAGGGGTCAGCAGGGGTCAGCAAGGGACAGCAGGGGCCAGCAGGGGACAGGAGAGGCAAGCAGAGACCAGCAGGGGCATGCAATAGCAAGTTGTAATCGTTATACGTTGTCGGAAGTATCAGGAGTGGTCAGCAGCGGTCAGCAGAGTCCCGTGGAGACCAGCAGTTGCAAGCAGTAGCAAGTTGTAATCGTTATACGTTGTCAGAAGTAACAGGAGTGGTCAGCAGCGGTCAGCAGAGGCCAGTGGAGGCAGGCAGAAGTCAGTAGTAATCGTTACACGTTGTCAGAAATATAAGCGATGGTCAGCAGAAGTCAGCATAGGCAGGGAGAGGCTGGCAGTAGCAAGTTGTAATAGTTATACGTTGCCAGAAGTATCAGGAGTGGTCAGCAGCGGTCAGCAGAGGCCAGTGGAGGCAGGCAGAAGTCAATAGTAATTGTCATACGTTGTCATGAGAAGCCAGCAGAAGCCAGCAGAGGCTGGGAGAGTCTGGCAGTAGCCAGTAGTAATGGTTATACGTCGCCAGCTATATTATAAGTGATATCTGAATTGATATACATATGTACCCTCATACATAGGAATAATAAGAAAAATTTCTTTTATTTTTTTCAATAATTGAAATATGACACCTTGCAATACCCAGCATTATTTTACCTAGGAATGTAACGTCATCGATTCACGATCCCATACTCGAAGAATCGTCCCAACGTGTACCCTAAGCGATCGATTCTTTCGAAGCATATGCCTTTGGGACAACAAAGCGTTACTATGGCTACTTCCTGCTACGTACGATGCCAGCGCCACGAGTTTTCCAGTCCCTTCTGGCGTTTTCACGGAAGCGAACGTTAAATATGAGTTGGTTCAATCGCGATATCGGTAGGATCGAACGTTTCCACGCGATCGGAGAAACGATCGAATGAGTCGACCGGGCGAAAGGGGTTCTCGAAGATGGAGCACCGTGGACGCTTCTCGGAGAAACGACTCCAACAGCACGGAGGACTCCTCTTCGGCCACCGAGAGCAACGAGTACTCGTCGTACGCGAAAAACATCAGCCCGCCATCGAGGAGCAGGTGGACGAACTCCGAGGAGATCAACAGGTCTCGTAACCGAGAAGATCGAGAGAGCCAGGCCACCGACGAGGAGTCCTCCGACGAGAAAGACGCGGAAAGATCGCGAGGACGCAAAGATGGTAGTCGAAAGAAGCGTCAGGACCACGAAAGGATCACTTCGAGATCGAAAGGAAGACACGATCGACGCGGGAAACGCAGATCCAGGCACTCCGAGGAGTCCGAGGTCGAGAAACGAAAGGGAATTGGCAACGAAGGCGACACGGATCACTCTAAAAGGAAAAGTTTGGAATTCAAAGGTAGGAGACCCTGGGAACAAGCTGGGGAACTCAAAGAACTTAAACTAATTTAAATGTAAATTGTAGAAAATGCAAACAAGGCTAGGTGTCAAAATTTGAACGCATCGTAATTGTTTCGTGACTCTGAAAGCTCTCTCGATGCAACGGGAAACGAATCAAGCGTGTAAAGGGGTTCGGTGTACTTCTGAATAGGAAATTTAATAACTTTGTTCGATAGGGGATGACGAATTGCCGATCACGGAGATTCTGAAGAGGAGCCAAGAGAATGCTCGCACCAAGTACGAGCACCAACCGCCCCTTCCGGAGTTGACTACGGACAAAATTTACGTGCAATACAGGGATGGTTTCAGCGCGATGAAGATTAGCCGATCGAGGGGCACACGAAGGGGAACGAAACCGGAAAAGGAAGGTCGTCACGACGTCGAGAATCGAGATTCCCCGCCCATAAGGGTGGCCATCGCGGTCCAACAATTTTCGAAGGGCATCGGTCTCGTGTTTCAAGGCCTTTTGGGTGGCATGGCTCTCATGCACTTTATAATGGTATGTTTCTGTCCTATAAAAGAACCCTTCCATTTAATTTTCATCGGATAGAAGATAAAAACCTTCAAAATTTTCTTTCAAGTCGATACCATGGTTGATTCCAAAGAAAACCATTGTTTACGATAAAATGCTGGCTGGTTATTACGCGAACGTACAGAATGCAAATTTACATTCATTTTCAATTAAATAGACAAATTTATAATTCGGTTTTACCGTGTACCAGTTCTTTGGGTGCATAGAGTCAAAGTAAATTGCAAAATAAACATAGAAGATAGCATAAATTATCATAAGTGTTATAGTCATTGGATAGAGGATGAAATGCCCTTTAAAATGAGCTTTTGTACGAGTCGATAGCGTGATTAGTTACGGAGATATGAGGATTTTAGTTTCAAGTCGATGCGGTGGCTAGTTTCGGGGATTCGAGGGTCCGAGCGTTTGTTTACGTTTCATTGACGCGAGATGAATGACCGCGAGCGCGTAAATAGTAGCGCGTAGTAAATTCTTGGAAATACTACGCGAAACTGGGTCACGACAGTCACGTTCGTAGGGTAGGTCAGCACGACGCACGTGCGAGCGAGAGGTCCGACGCGCTGGACGAAGACAGAGACAGTCGAATTAAAAAAATTACCTTTTACATAAATTACGATATCTCCGAAACGGAAAGTCCGATCGTCAAAAACCAAAAAGCATTTTAAAGGGGAGGTCTTGCCGCCGCTAACAGTGCCTCAATAATTAATAAAACACCATTAGTTTCGAAACTGCACGCGTCCAAAGTTTTACTATTTTTAATACGCGTTAATACACGTTTCTAAGGCGGCGAGAGCGTGGATAGCGGAATTTAAAAAATACCTCCTTACATAAATTACGATATCTCGGAAACGGGAAGTCGGATCGTCAAAAACCAAAAAGCATTTTAAAGGGGAGGCCTTGCCACCGCTAACAGTGGCTTAATAATGGATAAAACATTACTAGTTTCGTAACTGCACACGTCCAAAGTTTTAGAAGAGTTTTACTGGAAACTGAAGATTCTCTCCTTTCATCTTTGTTATATATTTCATCATTTGACTGGTTCTTAATGTTTCACTGTGTTTCAGCTGCACATACTTTTCGACGATTCTATGGAGTTCGTGATAGATCACTCTACGATTTGCGAGATCTACGCGAACATGTTTTCTTTCCTCGTAGCCATGTGCATGGTGTCAACCCTCGACAAGTACGTTTGTACTTGGTAACGATACTCGATGTGTTCTAATCAACGCCAAAGATACAACACGCTAGTTTGTTTCAGTTTCGTGGTCTGAATACCGAAGTTTTACATTTCGCTTACCTTTGACAGATTCGATTTGGCTCGATTCGACGTCTATCACCTGCGGGAGATCTACTGCGAATACAACAGAGCGGTGCTCGCTGTTCCGTTGTACCTGATCGTTTTCTGCCTTCATCAGATCTCCTCGAGGGCCGACAATCGACTCGCGTCGGTGCATTATTACGGCGTCAACGACAGCCTGTGGGAAAATGTGAGCGCAAACGAACAGTCTCGCTTCGGAACAAAACCTTTCTCGTCGACGCAAACAGTATCTTTTCCACGATGCATAAAATCCATTCGTACATTTCGTGAATTTGAAATAAAACAGAGAGTTAACAAACTCCTTTCTCGTTTAGAAATTCCTTTGACTTTGACATTACTACCAACGACGTTATCGTAAAGAGAATGGATATATTAACACGCTGCGTACGTTTTAATTCAGGCGACTAGCTTGCAGAGTATCGTGAACGATTTGGCCAGCTGGCAGAGGATATCCATGTCGAAGGACATACTCGCAGTGTTCGCCTGGCTGTTCGTGTCCCTGGGAACCAAAGACGACGCGTTTCTGGTCCACCTGCGGTCCATGGAGAAGTACGCCAACGACGCGGAACCGTCCCAACGATAAACGACGCGACACGTCCAACGAGAACGTTATTTATCTTACTTCGAACGAGGAACTGGTTCGCTTACGGTTTTACTTTTTATTCGTAACAGAATAGGGTCTGATATGTACAATATTTATAAAGTTCTCCTAAACTCTAACAGATAATACACGTACATGTAATACCAATGAAGACAATAACATTAAGAATAAAATATAACATACGGCGGCGATCGTACAATAGTAAAATATGGTCTTAGACTTCGTCTCGAGCGCGGCGCCAAAATCGCGTCCACGATCGCTACGGGGAATCGCTGGTACAAACCATGAACGCTCTCCGCGCGAAGGATCTTAGAAATTATTAAAATTCTCGTGCTAAGAAGAGCCCGAAGGCTATTTCGATGCGCTTTGGAGCCGTGATTTCGTGTTCCATGGACGTCACATTGGATAGAAAAGCGTACGCGTGAAAAGTGCTTGAGAGAGAATGGATATCGTAAAAGGGAACAGGGTGCTTTCGCGTAAAGACGGGTCGAAACGATTCCCAGACGCGAACGTGGACGCAACGGGGCCCCCCCGGTAGCATTCGTTGCACGACGAACGTGGCGCACGTTTTATAAATAATTGTGCGAAGGCTCTCGTATTAACCTGCGAAGCAACAGATAAATATATATATTTATATATGTATAAATACTGTACGTACATTTTAAAACGCTCGCGCGTTTACTTGTACCCTCCTCGAATATACATCGACGATAATTTAAAATATCTCTGGACTTTAAATAACGTAGTATTATTTTTCGTCAAGGCACTTTTTACAGTTCGTCTCTGTGGCCGGCGCGACCGATTTGAATCGATCACTCGATCGCTGGACCGCCGATACGCGTTCCGGATGTAAACGATCCGCAAGATTAACTCCGATCTCGTAGAATAAATTAAGGGGGAGGGGTGGCAGGAGGAGAAACAGAAAGCATCGTGAAAGCAGCGAATCCGTGAACGCGTACGACGTTCGCGAGCGAAGAACGATCGTCCGTTCGTAGTTGCTCGACCGATCAGATCTCTCATTTTTCTCTCTCTATCTCTCGTGTGTATTTTTTTTTCTCCCGTGAAAAAAAAAAACAGGACGATTTAGTGGTCCGTTTTATCGACAAATGGGGACCGCTCGTCCCCGAGGAACGTCGGTGCGATTCGATCGCGACCTGCTCGGACGCGAGTCCCGATTTTATTGGCTGAGGACTCTTCTCCTCGAGACGTTTAACCGTATCTAGGTTGAAAGAGCCCCCGGAGGTGGAATTTCCTATCAACGTCGAAAGCTTCCAACGTTGATGCGACGGGGACGCGTGTACTCGTTCCCCCGGATAAACGTTTTTCAATGAACTCGATCGCTTAAGACGTGCACGGTCTGACAATCGTCCCGGTCGAGAATGGGGGAACTTGTTGTCCGGATACAAATTTCGAATCGCGGGTAAAAGATTTGAATTGAATACCTCCGCGATAGAACGAATAAAAATTCGAACGAAAGTCTATGGTCCCGGACTAGGAGAGCTCTGGTCGGACGTCCATCGTTGTATATTTGCCAGAGTTTATAAAAGATTTATAAACAATGTGTGCAGTATAAATTTGTAAATCACTTGTAAATTCGTTTAAAATTGACGGTTGCTTGTTTATAAAAAATTTATAAACACTTGCCGAAGCAAGAGTCGATATTCGAGTACTCGAGTTGCTCGAATTTTATTCCGCGGCGTTAGGGTATTTGTCAAATATTCGAATAGTAAATCATTCGAGTAGTTCCAGCCCTACTCCGGAGACAAACTCGCCGCGATCGGTCTTGTCGATACGTGCAGAGAATGAAACGTCTCCTGAATAGTAATTCTTGTTCAAGTGCCAATAAAATGCAGAATAAAATCTGCTTGGTTGCTACTCAATCAGGAGAACTGTCGAATGTTTCCTCGTCGATCAATAGATGGTCCATCGATACGGTAAAAATCTCGTTTCAACGAACCGTGATATAATTTCTCGCGTTAAAAGTTAGAAGTTCAGTTAGCAGTATCTCTGATAAATTAACAATTTTCCTTCGAGTCAAATAACAGAGCAGTCTCGAGCATTTCTGACAAAATAACTTTGGGATGCTCCAGATCGAAATCCACCCGTTAAATCAAGGTTTTACCATACACTTGGACTATTTCCCTTTTCCTTTACGTTAACCCGCTGAAATATCGCGATACTTTTCCCCACCTACATCAAATAGAAAAGAACTTCTAACAAGGGAATATTCCGGTGACACCAAAGACAACAAATTACCATCCCCTTTGATAACACTCGAATCGTGACGCAACTAGCAAACAAGGCGCGTTACAATCGCGCTGGAGTCGCGAACGCTGACGGGAAATCCCACCGTAATGGTTCAACCTTGCTCCTCGTAGCTAAGACTTTCGAAACATTTGTGCGGATTCGGTGACGGCAGTGTACAGAGGAGAGCGTAACTCGTCGCTAACGAGCGAACAACCTCTTCCCGTGTATAATAATTTCAACATAGGGTCCCGGATAGACAACACGCCGCGAGCCTTTGATGCTTCGAACGGGACATCGTCGGTTCAAACGGTCGTCGAAACCTTTTCCCGTCGAGGGAGGACAACGGGATATCCCCCACGAGTCGAAATTCGTGCAAAAGAGTCACTGGACTCGAAAGAGCCTTCCTCTTCGGCCGGAATTAGCCTCTTGCGTGTTCGTCGTCGACCAAGGACGATACCTTGGCCTCTCTGTTCTCGCGTAGACGGATCAGCCAACCGAGGGAAACGCCGGGACAGGGTTCGTTGCTCGTTTCCCATCGATTCCCGGGACACCGGGTGATCTACGGGGCTAGTCCGTCTCCCTTTTTCCTTTTTCTGTCCCGTGCTTTTCGCGAATACGGGGGAGTCAGCGAAGGAGGAGGAGGTGGATAGAGCTCTTTGATGATTTCCGTCGTTGCGGTGGCTGGAACGCACGCACGATCTCCTTTTCCGCCCGCTTTTCCCCCTCCGAATCGCTTTGTGCGCCGTTTCAGAGAGGAACGCGAGGGGGGAGAGGGAACGAATCTTGCAGTCTGGCTCTTTGTGGAGCGGAGGAAGAGTCAGGAAGGTAGGACATCCTGAATGGCGAACAACGACGGAAAACGGTTCCCCTTTGGACGCGGTCGTTCCTCCTCGTCCTTACGCCCCGACGATCAAACGGCTCCTGCGTCGTTCTGCATGTACCTGCACCACGAGCGGCCGTTGTTGTTGCTCTCGCGGACTTGAAGCAATCCTCAGTCGTCGAAATCGTGCCGGAGCTTTATGTAGAGGCACGAGCCGAGAACGATCCCGAACAGCTCCAGCACGGACAGACCCAGACCCACCGCGCCCAGGATTATCAAATGGTCCTTCGTCGTCTCCAGGAACTTGTAGATGCAACCCTTAACAGACAACAATATGCGTTCATCCTTGGCTGGCACTCTCGTGAGAAGCTGGTTAGCCAAAGGAACGTCATTCCGATTGATTCTCCACGCTAGCCAACTTCTCTTGATTTATGAAACGATCATTGAGTTTGGGCCTGTGACGGTCAAGAGCTATGGTATCAGAACAGCAATGAATCTTACTGAATTGAAAATTCGTACTGAAAAAATTATACCGAGATCTCCGTGCTGGGACTGTAACGCTGGTGACTGTCACAGAATCGAATGGGATCAATCGGTGCACGCGAGTCGAGAGATTAATAGAATCCGTATCTCGAGTGCGCCATTAGTAGGTTCTCGTGTCTGCGTGTAGTATTTTTACGCGCCGGGATCAAGAGGATTTCGATAACGAGGTTCTTTCTCTCGAGCCTGATTCTTCGAATTTATGGCCCCATCGAGCCCGCGTAAGCGCGTCGTTCTTCGCGGCGCTCAAAGAATTAAATTGGAGCAAATAAACGTGCGTTTCGGAGTCCCCCGGTAGGAGAAAATCCAATAAACGGTCCTCGAGAAGAATGAAATCGAATGAATCGAACGACGTATCGATCGTGCCAGAGACAAAGAAGCCCCGATAAAAAGCTAGACTACTCCCGGAGTCGTTAAATACCGTGTAATGGATGTTCGATGGATGGTCCCTCCTTCCGCAAAGAAGCGTCGGGGTTTTGCAGCAGCTATTGGGAACAAGGCTCCCCTCGATAAGGACATCCTCGTCCTTGTGCCACTCGCTCACCAGCCAGTCCTCGAATCTCAGGGCTCCGCAGCATTTGAACTGAAAATTTAACAACGATCCACCATCGATCAAACAACGTAAACGAGCGTTAAAACCGTTTCTGACTATTAGAAGATTGTTACACCGGCGATCTGTGAATTGTTCCGCCATCGAGAATGGAAAATAACATTCGAAGGCGTAACGAGAGGAAACGTGTCGGTGAAAGAAACCGCTATAACGTTAATCGATTTACAGAGAGACGTGTCGGGACCATTTTGCGACGCGATAACGATGATTTCTCGAGGTAAAGTACTCGTAGCAGTGACATCGTTGCTAGCAGGCATAAAGAAAAATGGTTAGGCGATATCGCGGCCCGCAGCTATTTCGCGCGAAGCGGAATTTAACGACGTTCCCCCCATCTACTCGCCGTCGAAAGATACCAAGAAAAATAAAAAATCCCGGGGGAAAAAATGCTCCTATTAACCCTTTCGATACGGCGAACTTGATCTCAAATACGCTACTATAACACTGGATGGTCAAGACTCTTGTATAAGTCATATTGGATTAATGTATAGGGCGATTCTTTCACTGATAAACTCGAACGTTCGCTACATCAAAGGCAAAATGTAACATTTGATAGCTTCAAACATTACACAGATCGCTAGTTTTCTTATGCAAGTCAGATTGGACTAATGTATAGGGCGATTCTTTCACTGATAGACTCGAACGTTCACTTCATCAAAGACAGAATATAACATTTGATAGTTTCGACCATCATATAGGTCACTTTCTCATGCAAGTCAGATTGGACTAATGTATAGGGCGATTCTTCCACTAATAGACTCGAACGTTCACTCCATCAAAGACAGAATATAACATTTGATAGTTTCGACCATCATATAGGTCACTTTCTCATGCAAATCATATTGGACTAATGTACAGGGCGATTCTCCAACCAGTAGACTCGAACTATTTGAGTTTATTTTTTCCCCTGTCTTGCAAATAGAGTCTCCGTTGCAATAATGATCATCGTCGACAAATCGATGAAGCGACCAGCGATGTCCAGAGCGATCCTTTCGAGTCTACGTGCCGGAGAATCGCTCTGTACAAAAGGTCCAGGGATGAACACGGTTAGTGTCGAAGGGGAGAGAAACATTCTGTAAGATCGACCGAGTTTGCGGGAGTTGGACTTGGAAGGAGTGCATCAGGAAGTCCTGGCAGAGTTGTAAACAACGAAACAGAAGCGGAACTCGGTCCCTCTTTATGGCTAACTGCGCTCTTGGATTATTCCCGCGCGGGCAATCCTTCTTCTTGGTCGGTCCTGTTGCTCGGTCGTACTCACCTCTATCTGCATCTGGTCGATCGCGGCAGTTTCCCTGCTCCTCACGGAGTAGTTCTCGAGGAAGGTACGATTGAGGCTCATCTTCAATTCAGGCCCGACTTGTTCCTCGTAGAGTCGCGCCAGAGCGCCGACTCCAGCTTCCAGGATGAACACCAGCATCACGACGAACACGTACTGCGGGGAGAAAATGAATACAGAATCGGAGGAAATCGAGGAAATCGAGGAAAACGAGTCTCGACGAGACGTCCAAGACGCACCGGTTCGTCTTTCGAGGAAAGTTACGACGTCGCTAAAGACTGTGTATAGTTTTCAGCCAATGTATGCAGCGCGGAGAGCGCGATTGCATTAAACTTGCTTGGCAAACATCGCAGGGACCATTTTCTACCGGATTCCCAATCACATTATGCAATGGAGGGTTAACTGCCTCGAATCGATCATCTACCAGCGACTATAAGTTAGAGAGAATCATCCGCTGGCACTCGTTAACCCTGTCGACTCGAAAAGCCATTATTGAACTTGTTTCCCGTACTTTCACCTTGCAAGATTAATCGTACCATTCTCCGGAGATAATCAAGCCATTGGAATCGTACGAGATGGAGGAAGTATGAATATTTATATTCGTGTATTTTAACCACGGAGTTGGAGACAAATTAAACGCGGGGGGAAGAAACAATGGTTGTTTTGTAAATTAATATTATTTTGACAGGTCAAGAGAATTTAATCCTTTATGGTCAGCATTCGATCTCTATTACCGATACTTTCAATTCGGAGCGAAATCAAAGTATAAACGAGGGGACGAAAACACGGGGGGGCGAGGGGGGCATTTTATCGAGAGCCACGATATTGGATTTAAATTGAACATTAAGGAAAATTATCATTTTAGAATCGAATCTCTCTGAAAAAAACTCTTTAACGGAACAGCCAGATTCCATATTCGTAGTTTGGGGCTCTAAAACTATGCTGTTAAAGGGTTAGGTCTGGTTTATATCTGACGATCTCGATGGAGAACACGATGGCTAACGACTCCCTCGCCCCAAAATCGGAAGATCGCGGCTAACGCTCGATCGAGGATAAATCGTCGTGCAACGGGAGCCTGTTACTTTTCTCCGATTCGCGGAATCGGCTCGCGGATCGTTGTTCTCGGACGTTCGATCGCCGATCGCATTCTCGATTATTCCCCGTTCCACGAACCTCGCGAATAACTGTTTTCTGGAAACGCAAATAAAATTGCGAAACGGTAATTTATAAAAATTAGGAGCGAGACGATCGATAGCGAGAGTACATTGACTATATTGGATTCGAGTTCAGTGAAAATGTAAATGAAATTGTCAAGTGAAACGTATTATGCTTCGCGCCGTTCGCTCTGTCGGCGAATTGAAAGCAACGTTTGGGCGTTCGATGGACAAGGAAAAAAACGTCTCGTCCAGAATCCGGGGACAAAGTGCAACGGAATATGTAATCGGGGACTGCTTGGAGGACCGGTCTGCAGCGCGTTAAAGCCGCAAAACGCCGTGCAAGGCGTTTTAGAATTTTCATGAATATAAATCCGGAACGCGTCGGCAACCTTCCCCGCATGAATATTCAAACCCCCGAAGCTGCCCGCGACCGATCGTTTGAACGAAAACTTCACGGCGAAAAAGGGGGGCCCGATTCCGTGAGAGGAACGTCGTTAGCTCCTCAAAGTTCGTAATTCGCGGCGTATTTCGGGGGAACGTTTCAAAGGTTTCGAACAAAATAGCCAGGTGATAAATGTATATTTAAACACGCCGTGCCTGGTCCACGTTATTCGTTGAATCGTAATTAAATTCGAGGGGGAAATATGCTCGGAACGTGATCGATATTTTATTCGTCGCGTTTGGTAATAATTCGCGGGCCCCGCGGAAAAACAATCGTACGAAAAGAACTCGATACGCGGGGAAATTACGGTGTCGCGCACACACGCGCCCGCCAATTTAAGCCGATGTGTAACGTTACACTGGCCGCAGAGTCCGGCCAGGGACGGGAATTGACAGTTCAGAATTGGTCGAAACCGCTGACAGCGAATGGACGGTCGATCATGAACACTGACTGCGGTCGCCGCAATCACAGCCGATATCCGTGGACAATGCAAATAAATCGATTACCGCGAGCCTCCCGCGATCACAGTCGAAATTGACGTTCCGTACGTACGCCGAAGACCGAATAACGATCAACTGGAACAGCTTTTTCCCCGCGGTGTTTGTTTATTTAACCGTTTAACCGATCGTGGATTGAAAGAAATCATCGATCACAGCGGACGTAAGCAACGATCGGTGGCTGCGATGTGTTTAACAGCGAGGAGGAAACAATCGACGTTGTTTGAATAGAAAATTTACGGTTTGAAGGGATTCATCCGGGGGCCTATGTTTAGTTTAGCGAGTTACGAGCGTGGAAAGTTTCGGAACTTTCAAAAACACCCTCTGCACGCGGGGAGTGAGAAGCGGTGAATGCACAAGTATGGAAAGCGCGCGTAAAGTTTACAAGTTCGCGACAAAGTTTACTTATGGCGCGGTTAAAAATGTAAATACACCGCGGCGGGGAACTTTCCATAGAGGGGAAATGATTCAAAGGTCTCCGCTGATTGGAAAATCTTCTGTGAAAAGTATGGCCTCTGTATAGAGCCATTGATGGATATTTTGCTGTAAAATACCTAGAACGGAACGCTGCTTTTTGGAATAAAGAATAACATATCTCTTCGCGAAGTGTATGTTTCCTTGAGATATATAAGTTTGTAAAGTTGAAGGACGCTATTGCAGATAGTGCACGAATAAAAAATTCAGGAAGAAGTGCTTCTCCTGGCGTTCCAGAGTGGAAGATACTCTTTGGTAATCAGACAAGATAGAAGATGTGATTATAACGTCGTTACTTGGCGTCCCCTCGTTCGCTGCGAGGAAAAACCGGAGGAAACAGACTGTCCGTCGTCTGGGAAAAACGAGGTTGGCTCGAGAAAAATCGAGGATCGATTGTTGACCGATTTCTTGCTGACCACTCGTCAAAATTCCGAAGACGTTCTTACTTCGCCAAGTGTAACTCTCCGCGGACATTCGGAATTTTTCATCGTATGTTTTCCACCACGAAGTTACGAAAAGAACGAACATAATGCCAGTACCGAAGCACCGTTTAACCGGAACGAGGGAAACGCGGGTATTAATTTCCGACGATATACGTATTTTTATTATCATTTCCACGAGTTTCTTTCGATCGTTCGAGTCGGCGAAGCAGGACGATTCTCGGCCGAGCTTCCGGCTCGCTTTTACTTTCTCCGCGTATGGTCGCAGGGGCCGTCGCTTTCCTTAAAAATCCACGGCGTGTTCATTATCCGGATTTACCTACCCGCCACCGCGAGCAAAAATTTTAATTGACCGCCGTATATGGTCGCGGCTAATGAGACGATTCGTTCGTGCTATCGTGCGCAGGTGGTGAAAGGGAGCAAAAGACCTATGAGAAAGGACAGGCAAAAGGTTGCCCGAAAGAAGCAACCTACCTTTTACGTCCAAGATCGCCGATAGTTTCGCGATTGCAACCGGCCGATCGATGGCGGGACCGTCGATTAAATTTTCCAACGTTTCGAACTTCTACCAAGTTTCCCAACTTTCGTCGCCTAATTGGATATTTACTGGGTCAGTTGCTGGACAGTTTCTTAAAATTACAGATAGTTTCGACGAGCGGAACAAAACGAAAAAATTGAATTCTACTATTGAATAGAATTTCGTTTTCGATCCAAGGATGAACAATGATTGACAAATCACGATATAATAAGAGAAAGCGGTCACGATTCTCGGATGATTGGCAACTGCGGCCAAAGGTTAAACTCGATCGGTACGATCCACGGGAAACACCGAAGCGGAGAGGCCGGAAATCAAGATCCTCCGGGTCGAGCGGTATCAACAATCCGATTTCGCGCGACGGAAGTAATTCTTCTTGCTCGCGATCTTGCAATATCGAGGACCGGCGCAAGACAAAATGAAAAATACCCGGATGATCGCGCAACGAGGACCGGATTCGAGGGAACCGCGAGCCATATTACGTGAAAATTCATTACGTCCAACGGGACGCGAAATTAGAACCGCTGCAAACGATACAAACGGGAGGGGATTTTAAAATGCTCGCAGCGGGTTATTCCACGGTTAATCTTTGTTATACGAATGTTCATTACCGAGCTTTTCAGTCGCTCCTTAAAATTGTCAAGTTCAACTCCGGCTTCTGTGTTCCCGAAACAAGTTTCTCGCTGGCCGACAACGAACTGACACGGCTATTTTGAAAACCTTCGTGGAACGAATTACCGCGATGGCGTAAAAGCAGAGCATCGCAAAGTGCATTGAAATCGAGGGAGATTACTTTGGAAAAGTGGAAGCAACTTGAAACCCCATAATGGGACGTTCTCGTGTTTGCCCCGAGAACTTTTCAAATTGCTTCGAGAATTAATATTATTTCTTGTAAATTATTTAACCCGGGGCGAGCGTGCCAGCGGAAATTATATCGTCGAAAGATTGGGGGAACTTTCTTGTTCTATCTTGATCTATCTGTAAACAAGAGTCTTTTTACGCGTCTAATTCACAGCGCTGTGTCTCCCTACTTTTATTCTGTTTAATCAATATTCAAATTGGAAAAAAAGTTGGCGATACAGTTCGCCGGCGTGGCAAGCGCAACGTACCTCGTTAAAGTTGCCGGGGTACGAGTGGACGTAAAAGGAGATCCTCCTTCGAGGATCATCGGCGATATCTCCTTGTTAAAACGTGTCCACGTCGAGGAGTAACGAGCCGGCTCGATAGCGAATCTCGGCATCATTCGTCGCTCCATTTACCTTCTAGACGCGTGGAACGATATCCTGATCACGGTTACGGCGCATAAACTAACCACCGTTTATGGCCCAAAAATGTACGCGCAAAGGATCAACCGCACGAACGTCGCGGTTCGGGGATAAGTGGAAGAACCGCGCCATACTCGGACTCCGAATTCTCGAGTTCGTGCGCGTAACTTTCTCGTTATCGAAGATAAAATTAATTTTTTTTTTAAAGGAACATTTATTCAGAACTTTCAAAACAATCGCGTGATTTTATCGTGTAACTTTCGATGGCGGTTTTCCACGCGATCGCATCTCGTCCATTAATTTCTACGATGCACGCTAAATCGAACAAATAAAATTGCGCGCGTGC